TTTCTGCCTGGGCGTTTCCAGAAGCCAGCACGCATTATTCCGTTCCTGGGTTGTTATTAATCCGTTCAGCTCGGATTTCGCTCTAATACGACCCCCTTTTTATTATTCCGTTCGGGCTGATTTTCGCTCTAATACGACCCCCTTTTGTAATCCGAATCCGACATTAGGGGGACCCCAGCCCGCGTAATAACTTACTAAGGAACATATTGGGGATATATAGGGATCATGGAATGGAACATGGAAACTGCTATATTATTGGGGTCTATCTCGGGACTACTATAGGGATCCCTCCCTCAATTCCCTTCTAAGAGCCAGCAAATGTCAGGCTAGGCTTTGGCCGCTACAGTTTCAAGACAGTCGAACAAAATAAGCCCTGAACCCTAAACTCTGGGTCAATCCTCCACGCAGTAATGGGTACCACAAGGGACTATTATTGCAGTTACATTAAGGACGTATTAATTCCACATGTTGGGCCTATACCTGTCGGGGAATTAACCAACCTACACCCTGAACCACTTAAGCGGGATTGCCCTAGACGTAATCACTGGGACATCACCGCAGGGATGTCCAAGACAGGTAGTAGTTCGAAAGCATTACGAGAGCCCACGGACGCATGGACTTCAACGGTTAATTGTGAGGCCCTGAACGCCGCACCCTGAACTTTAAACGTTCACTGACCTCACAACATGCTGAAGCCTTCGCCCATTTGCTAGTATAACAGAATCTCATTCCACAACGGAGATCCTGTCATATCCTATCATATTGATTGAGCTTTCGATCACGTTTGACCCACAGAGACAACCCTAACAGGATCTTTTAGCTTTGGGGAATATTGGGCCTAATGGAGCATGGGGGGTTATATGATGAAGTCTGGACAAGGACCTCTTTTGGAACTGCAGCTCGCAGTTCATATCATCATATGATTACCATGGGCACCCTCAAACTAATAAGTCCGAAGAAGCCCTTACTAAGCCCTCATAAACCCCCAAGAATCCCTAATGCACCCTGGGCTTCTGAGGGCCCGGTCCCTCCTAAATACGCTGCCCCGAAACTTCACAACCGAGGAGCGGTCAGCATACTGCAACTGGTCCTGCGCCAGAGCATGCACCGGTGAACAAGCACAGCAGTCGCTAGGGTTTAGGGCTTAGAGGCTACGAGCCTACACTGAGGAAAAGGGGGGAATGAATGTAGGTAATTACTACTTTGCGACGGTGGCAATGAGAATTAATGTGGATTCCCCCCTAAGCACCAGTAAGTACAAGCCATGACCAAGATGCCGCAGCAAAACCGGTCGCCAGTCTCAGAAAATGACAGAAACAGCAAGCTTAGTAGTAGTAGGGAATAAGTGAATATACTAAATATAGGAATTTATGAGCCATATTCCCTTATGCCCTACTAAGAACCTATAAGATAACAGCTGCAAGCGTAGCTGAAAGCCTGCAACCGGTCCTGCACAAGTTGCCAGGCTTCCTCTCCCTGCTTGTTGATGACCAAGGCTTCCACCACGCAGCCAATGGTAATGGCGGTGGGTTTGACATTGTTGTTCTGCCTTGGAAGCCCTAAAGCCTGAACCCTAACCCCCCCTTAATAGTACAGAAGAGGTGGCTGTGGGGCCTGCGCTTCTGACATAGGACATTTATCCAATATTTAGCTATTTATGGTTATAGCATAGGACTGTTT